GGTATGTTGTACATAGGTATGTTGTACATAGGTATGTTGTACATAGGTATGTGCCAAGACACTTAGGACACAGCCCATTGATTTGGAGGGGCGAGTCTTCTTTGCTTCGACTTGAGTTCTACAGCTGGCATCGGCTTCGCCTACCTAAAAGTTGATCTTCTTTGGATGGAGAAGCGCGGAAGGAATCCTGGGTGATTTGGAGTTCCAGAGCTCACATGGTAGCAGCCATTTGTGCGCAGGAAAATGATAGGTTAATGTCCCATGTTTGGGATAAATCTCTTCATTTCACCTGGGGTCAACCTCCCTACTTTTCACCCACAACCATATCACCATAACCAGTGATTTCAACCCATGGACGGCCCCTGAGTTTAACATAGTTTAACAAAAGAACGTGGTGGAAACTTCATCCCGCAGCGCAGCGCAAAAGCAGCGCCCGCAGCGCCAGTACCCAATCATCGCCTCTCGAGCACAAAACTCCATGGTGTTCTGCAGCAGGCTTGACTGGTGGCGCCGACAAACATGGACATTAGCTGACATCATATGCCATCGAAACTCGACACATGGCTGCCATGGAAAACTTGGTACACGTTGATACCATATGGAAACATATCATATACATGTACTACTAGGGCTCCTGGCCTTACTACTAGGAGCGATCGGACGCTACTAATTTACTAATTAGGGGCTCCTGGCCTTACCACTAGGAGCAAGGTTCGCTACTATGATCGGTCGATGCCAGCTACCCATATGCCATCATAGACCTATTGGACTATTGGTTCTACACGACGAGGGGTATCCCTTCTATTGATCAACGCACGAGGTACGGGCGTGACCGAAAAAACAAAAATCTATCGGGCAGAGAATCCGTTTTGTTTAACAGGATCGGCGTAGTCCGTGAGAACATGCTGGGCACGTTGCAAAAGACGGGGTCCAACAACTGCTGGATGCAATGCCAACCTTTTACAACTGGGTGCCGCCCCTTGTGGATCGAATCAATTTGTATCATCTAAGTTAAACCAAGTTAAACCAATCATTGGACCCTCCAAACTGGAGGGTGACCTGACCCTGCAGAACGCAGGGGGTTGGACCCGGACCAAACCTTCACCTTTGAGGGTCCTTGATCCTTAGGGTAAGGGAAATCTGTCTGGTGAATCCATGTCGGAATCATCACAAGCAAACCAATGCAGGAGACATTCTTCCGCGCGGGTTTTCCGGCGGGTCTGCAGACCCGCCCTGTTCACCGGCAGCTGAATCTATGGACAAAAGAGCGTCAGATGGATCAGTTTCAGTACGAGAATCCCATCTGACGGGAAAGATTGCAACTGACACCCTAGCCTGATAGGGAGGTGGAAGTTGATCTGCCAGAGTCTATTCAAAACATTTCCAGCACCTGTCCACTTGATCTCTACAAGTTCCACCTCGCATGTTCCAGCGACAAACATATTTTTTTGCTGCCAACACAACATGGCACATCGTATGAGACATCGGTATGACACATAGCAACTAACACAAAGGTTTGAACTGTGATGCTCCTAAATGCTCCTCTTGGTTGCTATGTTAGTCTGGGTAGCCCTGTATGATCCAGTATGTTCCTTTCTTAATCTGGTGCGTCGGCGGCAAATCCACGATCGTGCGCTGCTCTCAGCGTGCTCTAGACCGGAGAATGGGTTGAAGATGGGCTGTCTACGGACGCAAAGGATCAAAACGTTCGATAAATCAGTGTTTGCATCCAGACCTGTCGGGTGCTCAAATCAGTGTTTCCGACAAACCATGGAGCAAGTTCTGGTGGACTAGCTTGCAAGTTCTGGTCGCAGGTCTCTTTGAAGCACAGCCCAACGTTTTTGGATGTTTTTGGGGTGGTGAACTGCTCTGGTCACACTGCAACCTGCACAGAACATCACAGAACACCAATTTTTAAGATGTTTTTAAGTTGTCTGATCCTGAAGATTCAAAACGGATCCTGAAGATCCGCAACCCAACAAGAACTCGAATAGAAGAAAACCACAACGTCCGAGTCCAAGATATCTAACTCTACGTTCTTGGGGGATGGCGCAAACACACAAATCATCATCCTTCGTCCGAGTTTGGCGCCATGTTCGCCAACCACTGAGCACCTGAACGTCAAACCATCACCCGGACGATGGATTAGAGCAGGCTTCATTCGCACAGCACAGCTGTGGTGTGCCAGGATGCACCACTGAATGGCTGCAATTCAACGACACTACAGGCAATGTCATTTCTTCTCAACAGCTGCAGATCAACTTGAACCTGGCACCAAGCTGTTCGATGCTTCACAAATGGCGGGTTTTCCGATGCTGTTCGATGGTTCTCGGATTTCTGGAGCCTTCTGGGACCCGATTCTTCTCGGGTGCCAAGAACCTGCATCATCCCACATGTCCCAAACACTCCATGTATGGTATATTTACCTACATTGGGGTGGTTTGGGGGGGTCAATGTAGGCATATATGGCATACATGGAGTGTTTGGGTGTCACATGCATGTCTGAAGAACATCCATCAAGTCAAGGACCACCCCACCTTGGCCTCGCTGGCGCAAGTCTTCGGCCGTGGCACCAAAAAAGATGTCCTGCGCTTCCCAGGAGAAGTCCTGGACAAAAACGTGGCTTGGAAGTGTTGCATCACATCAGAATCGCGAAGAAGTTCTGCTAAAGGTATACTTGTACATGACATCTTGCCAGGCAAATGACATGGGTCTTCTTTGATGGTATCCTTGCAGGCTTGCAAAGTATCGCAAAAAGTGTGGCAGGTGGTCCTTTCCATTGGGGGTGCCTGTGGCTTGTGCCACTCGGGCGTACTTCCTGACTGCCGACGCAGCCATGCAAAGGACAGCAAGTGTTACTGCAACGTCCGAATGCCACTGTGGTGCACACCGTACAAGATGCCACTGCCTGTGCTCAGCTTTGAAGCGAGTCTCTCCCAAATTGGTAGCTTTTGTTCCGGAACCTTCGCAGGGAGCGGCTCCAGCAAGCGTCGAAAGACTTGGAGATATGCCTGCGATACGACGAGCGCCCAGAACTGGTCCAAACCACTACGATGAGCGCCAAGAAAATCCATGTCCAAAACAGGTTCCAAGCCCAGAAGTGGCAAGCTACCTGTATATGAAAACATGGTTCTAGTCATTGTAGTCTCTCTGAACATATACCAGACACATCAGGATACAGTCTGATTGCCGTGCAGATGGCCGAATGCCTCCCAGCTGTTAGCTAATGTTGCAACAAAGAGTGGTGGTTGTGATCATCCTTCCTAATCTTCCTCCCGACTGTCAGTATGAAGTTGCAAAGAATGGGCAAGCAAGAACGGGTCTTTTGATGTCTTTTGCGGATCCGAATGTATTTGGTCAACACCCTATCTGCAAGCCAGCCAGCTGACACACAGCACTCTGCTTTCAGCAGAGGTGACTTGACGGAAAAACTGTACCTGTATAGATTCTCCTTTCAGGTTGATTTCACCAACCATCAAGGTAAAAAGACCTGCGACAAGGATGACCGCCTTGTTTTTTGTTCACAGATATGACCCTTTTTGGGGTCCACTAAAGCATCCATGATTTTCCACCCGGGCACATCGTCAAAGCACACCTCCTCCTCTTTCCTTCAAAGCACGCGTGCTTTTTCTCGCGCCAAGGCCCCGTTGCGTTGCCTGCCTCTCGTCCACGTCCTCTCAGCCCGTCCACGTCCTCTCAGCTAGTGATCATCCTCCCAAACCTCTAGAAGCGTGCATATCCGACGCGTGTCCACACCACCTGGGTGGGAGGCTGTCAGAGTGCAAAAAAACTGACGCAAAAGTCTACAATGCAACTGGAACAAAGGCTGGATAAAAAGGTTGGAAAGCATAAACTTAACTAAACCCCTGCCTAATCAGCTGAAGTACAGAAAGCAAATAGCTCAATCAAACGAACATATAATCAGATAATACTGTACTTGTTTAAAAGGGCCTAAACCTGCTGAACTTAAATTTTCAACTGGCCACAGAATTCCGCAACATTATCCACGGCCAAGTCCAAAGGCGTTTCACCGAAGGCTGACTCGGCAAATGCATTGGCGTTGCGTGAAAGAAGCAGCTTCACACAGTCTAAATGTCCGCTGAAGGCAGCATAGTGCAAAGGTGTCTCGTTGATATGATCCTGTGCGTTGGGATCCGCACTCAAGTTCAATAGAGCCTGGAGCAACAGATAGGCTCTGCATCAACCAGATCTGTGGGGGTCGGTTCGAAGGGACACAGAATTGAAAATAGCCGAGGAGTCCAAGCGCTATTGGTTTAGAATTTAGTGGTCCTTACCTAGCGCTTCGAAAGTACCACAAAAAAAGGAACAAGTGGAAAAACATGGAAAAAAACAGGTTGTTCAATTTTGGTTCTTTTCTGGGGCGCAGGTTATTTCTTTAAGCATTTGGAGTGTTTTGGGTGTCCCACCATACCTTCGAAGTGCATCATGTCATGAGTACTCATGTAGCCGCTCGGGGCTCATAATGCTAGGAAGGCTGGTGAAGATGCCTGGCCTGATGAACACTTGCAAGAGTGCATGTTCTACTTGAGGCGTATCAAACTAATTCAGTTGCCAGAAAAACAATCGAGCTCAATCACATGATACGGACACAATACGTGTGGAATTACTTTGATCACAGTTCGCGGGAAACAAATGTAGCATAATTTCCCGGAATTGTAGCGGAAATTCCGGAATTGTAGTGGAATTTCCCGGAGAGAAAGTTGGACCATGGATGAATAAACCAGTTTCATTTCCTGACTGGGGCCGTCTTTTGAAGCCAAACAACATGTAAGCCAGGGAGATCAGTTTATCCGCCTTGCTACCTTCATTTGTGAAATTGATCTTTAAAAAAAATTCACTGCAGAATGATTTTCAGGATTTTAAGGTCAAAAAACATGTGCAAAAGAAAACCTGAGGTGGAAGCATAGGAGTGATTCACTGCAGTCTTTCGCGGTCTTCCAATTTTCACGACTGCTTTGCTCCTTTCTTGAAGGAAATGTTTCCCTTTTCAATCTTTGTTACCTTTCATCAGAAAAGCTTTGTTCCTGCTTGCTCGCGACGTGGAGGTTCTAGGTACCAAAAGAATTGCTTCTCATTGTTTCTCAAAGGATTTAAAATGGCTGCAGCACCAGGTACCTTTCTTTGGCCTCGGAAGGCTAGGTTGGATAAGTGAAGTTCGGATTAGTCCCGAGTAAGTGTGGGAAAACGCTGCCAAATGTAACAAAATCCATGTCAGAAAGCCATAAATAGGACTTATTTTTGCATTTACATCACCGCCTCCTTAAACTGCTCGATTTTGGGTGAGTCTGAAAAGATTCGTATCCTAAAACAACCCTAACTGTCCACCCTGTCTGTCCACCATGACATGCCGCGTTTACACCAGCATGTGTTCCTTCCCCAATGGCACGGACTCACGCAAACGCACTTTCGAAACCACATGGCACCACGACATCACACCTTTCGAATGCTTTAGTTGTTAATCTAATGAAGAATCATGATCTCAGTAAAGGGTTTTTTGCAAAGGTAAAAGGAAGAGGAAGAACCTTCGATCTGGAGGTTGTTGAATCTTTTTTATACGATTTTTTTAAAGGATCCTATATGCAAGTTTCCCAGGCGACTTGTCGGTCTTGAAGCTCTTCCATGCTCTTCCCAGGTGTCCCTAAAAGCGCACGGTCCGTATCAGTTCGGGAAGGGGCAAACTGGCCGCTGACCTCCTCGAAGAAGAACCCACACGATCCATGGTGGCGCATGGATCTGGACCCGACTTCGTTCATATCTCCAGAAAAAGGAGACATGACCCGAACACAAAAACGCAAAAACCAAACAGGTATACTTGTTGGGATTCCCATTTTCGGATAGGTATACTCACTCAGGTCTTCCTCCAGGTTGTCCTCATGTCCAGCTTTGAAAGGAGGCTCCTAGAGACTGGACCACGCGGAACCAGCGGAACACGGTCCAGCCGGTTTGGCCGCTTGGCCCTCCCCATTTGGAGTCGGAGGGGCCCAAACAGAAAAAGACCAACTGGACCAGCTTGGACAGCTTGGCTGGTCGTAGGTACAAGTGTTGAGCTTCCGGCCTGTTGAGGGTCCACTGCCACTGCCAGTTTTTGGTCAGTGGAAAATGCAGTGTCTGCAATCTTTGTTGGAGACCCCGACGAGTTCATAAGCACGAGAACTCTTAAAACGATTGAAAACGAGAACCTCAACTTGCTGTCAGGGAAAGGATGGGAAAGGCAAGAAGATTCAAACATGCTGCTGGTGGCTACAGTGCCCGAGTTCGACTACCCTCCCTAGAATTTCAACCACATTAGCAGTAGCAGGAGTTGGAAGAGTATTCGAGCAATACTATTCCCCAAACTATCCAAACCTATGCGCATGGGATCGCAAGTTACCCTGTTCCTTTGTGGGGTCTGCTGCATGAGATGCTGTGCCATGTCACCCCACCTCCAAAGCTGCAAGATTGCCAGCCGCAGCAGCAACATGCGCGGCGGTCTCTCCAAGGTGTCCTCCTAGGGAACGACTGTTGATGACCTTAGCTGAAATGGAAGATGGTGCTTCAAAAACGACAACCAGACTGTTTTCGGATCCCAGCAAAAATTCCCCACCAGTCTCAACCACCTAGACCCCCTGTAGTGCAATATTGTTTGTACACAACTTGCACTTCTGCACGATCGGTCCGAATGAAACGCTTCAACCAAGAGAAACTGATCTCCTTGGACTAAGCGTGACAAGTCTTCTGTGCCAACTGTCCATGTTCTGCCCCAATTTCATTCTTTGAGTCATTAGTTAGCAAGTTAAGCCACTTTTCGTCTCGCTCGAGTTGCAAAAGTCTGTGAGTCTGTGAAGGGGTCATTCCAATAAATGCCCAAGTTAAAACATCCGGATTTATGAACTGTTGAACAAATACATTTTTTGTGAAATAGTTGTGCAGTTGTGCACTTTTTGCGGGGTGGTTTGGATCTTTTTTGTTAATTTCTTAATAGTGCAGTGGGCAAGATCATGTCTTTCTAGCTGTCATTTCTTGAGGTGGATCCAAAAGCGCCCACAGCATTTTCTGGATCAGCTCTCAAAATACCATGTGGTTTCCGCTGATCAACACAGGTTTCCTGCACGTTTGATCCAAGTGGCACGAATTGCGGTATTTGCGGCTGTTTGCGTGGATTTGCAGCCAGAAATGCATAAGTAGTATAAAGATCTATAAAGCATTTTACTTTTGGTATCTTTAGGTCGTCCAGGCAGTTCTTGGATGGAGACAGTGCCACTTCGTCTTCAAGAAACGAGGCATGAGTGACCCCCCAGGCCCCAAGCCGAGAGACCAAGCCAGATGAAGTGCACACTTGCAGAATCTGTGCCACGTCCTGAAGCCCCGCCCCCATCGCTTCACACGCGCGGAAACCCCTCACGCCTTCACATGCGTCGCGCCTCCAAAATGCGCCGCTGACCGTGCAACTCCCCGTCCACATCAAATGACTCGTGATTCGGACTAAGTCGGCCTGGTCAGAAAACCTCAATCAAAAGGAAAACAACACCTCACAGCAACGACCTCTTCAGCAGTTCCGACCGGGTCGGATTCTTCGACCCCCCCCCTCCACTTGCATCCACTTTCCCATTGTGTCTTGCACCGTCGCTGGCGTCTTCCCACCTGCCACGCTGCTCCCCGCGGATGCGGACCCGCGCGGGCGCGCGCGGACGCGCGCTCCTCCTTGCCGCCCTGTGCCGCGGCGCTCCGGATCACCGGCCCGGCAGCGATGCGCTGCAAACGTCGGTGGAAGCGCTCGAAGCCGCCCTTGGCGGAGCGGAAGACGTTGAAGATCAGCTCGCGCTCGCGGGGCTGGGTCGCCTGGCACGAAGGAGGTCGGTCGCCAGGACAACGCCCCCCCTGAATTCCTGCGCAACATGGTGTGGATGAGCATGGATGAGCAAATCCCCCCCATTGGCGTCGGATGTTCCTGGTCTTTCCGCCCTCGATGCGCACGTCGATGGCATCACGATCCGCTCGACTCGAAAGGACC